CTTTTCAGACCCCTTGTTCTGCTGACCTGAGCTGTTCAGAGGCAGGGATAAACCACTGGCTTTCTGCAAGTGATGCTCAGTGACACCCCAAAAGTTTGATAGTGCCGCTAGAATGTCAGTTCTGGGACCTTTTATTCTTCTAAGCCTAAGCCTGGCACAAGTCTCATCCAGTTTAGTTTTACAGTCACTGTTAGTGGAACAACTGTGGTGCTTTCTGTATAGACTCAATCACGTCACCTTCTACAGGCACAGGGAGGGGATGAGTTTTTGGCAGCACCATCCAGGCCTTTCAGTGGGAAGGAGAGCATTGCTTGGAAGGGTTCTGTGATATAGCCATGTGTCCTGATTGCTCTTTTTCTTTATATGCATACATGCTCTCTCTCTCTTTTTGTGATAAAAAGGCAGTTTAGGTCAAGCTGGTTTGGTACATGCTGTGCTGCTTTGGGGTACTTTCTGCATTTGGGCCTTGGGTGGGTGAGTGTTTAAGGCTCTTGGTGACTTCCAGTCTGAATGGTGACAGCCAAGAGTATGACTGTTCATCATGTCCAGGGATTCACAGTCCTGCCTATTGTGCCTAAACCCAGAATTTCTGATTTGCCCTGAAAGGCAGATGTTATACTCTGCCTGTGGCCCTTCCCTCTAGGGCATTGTCTCCTGGAGCATCCAAGGCTCACAGAGAGGCTCTTGAATTGGCACTGTTGTGACTGTGGTGATTGGAATGGCCTTGGAGCTGAGCCCATGAAATGCATTAAGGTTGTATCTGGTGCAATGGAGGGGGCATGCAGAGATTTTTGGCCTTTCAAAAGCACCAGGCACTTCTCAAATGTTGCCATATGCTCCTGAGGGAGCCCCTCAGAGACTTCAGCTGAGCTGCCCTTAGGCTGGTGCTGGCAATGCCACTGCTGGTTCAAACAACACAGTTAGAGGCGTGGTGAGAAATGCTTGTCATGTTTGGAAACAAACTTTTTGGTCTTTCTTTGAAATGTATATCAAATGTGTATTTTAAAAGACCCATTTCAAAATACCCTGCCATGAAAAGGAAGCAAACTCTGAGTTAGGAGAGGCTTCATTTCTCCTACTTGTGCAAATGAGGTACGTAAACAGAAAGGGAGCACTTTCCTGCCTCAGTGTTTGCAAGTTTATTACTGATGGCAGAGTAACTGATGTTCCTGAGGACTTGTGAAAAGAAGATGATAATGCATAGCTCCAAGCTTTAGCATTTTAGATGCATTAAGCTATCTAGACCACATGTGAAAAATGTCATTGCCTACCGAGCAGCTAATGTGCCCATCAGTTACGGCACAAATTGTTCTGTCTTTTGGAAACCAGAGGAGACAAAATTCAATATCATTCAGGTGGCCTATAACTGCTTTGTTTTGCAAAATGCTACGTGAAGTGACTGAGCCCCAAAGTTGGAAGTGTTGCAATAAAGATCTTAAATGAGTTTGCATGCAGAGCAAAGAACACTAAGTGCCTTAAACTTGGTAGCAAGAGATTTTTTAGCATATTTCAATTTACTGGTAAAGGTTTCCCTCCCTAATAGTTGGTATGCTGCTTCCTAAGTGAAGAAAGAAAACCACCAACCAAACCAAACCATGAAAAAATTGTGTCAGTATGTACACACTGTATACCACATATATGTATGTATGTATTTACACAGAGGTGTGCACACACACACACACACTCCATAACTTACTTTACAGACTAAGAACCATGTGGCAATATGCTGTGGCATCAAGAGCTACATTAAAAATGGAAATGGTAGTCTGCAATGGTAGGGTTCAGATTTTAGCTAAGAGCTGTGCATAATTTCAGCGTTTTCTGTTTTTTTTCCCATCCCAGAAACTCAGTTTCTGTAGCCCTGATAATATCAACTCTCTCTAGAAAGGGAGTGAATTGATTTACTCATATTACAAATCCTAGTTGAAGACCTGCTCCACTCATCATCTTCCTGCCATGCTGGTTATGGTTTAGGTGTGTTTGGCCATGCACAGAGCACCTGCAGTGAAGTCAGGCAGGTCCCAAGCAGTCACTTGGCTGGCTAGCACTTCAAGAGGCCATATATTCCCCATGCTCTGTGACCCCTTCCCAGGGAAAACTCATCAGATACAGCTTTACAGGCCATAAGATTGCTGCTTGTGATGTCTCACCACTTGGTGTGCCAGGACAACGCATTGCTCCATAAATCCATGTAGCAACTAAAGCAGAGCTTAGGGAAAGGTGAGTTAACCTGTCTTTGTGCTTCTGAAAGTGGCTATAGGGACTGAATGATACCATGGCAGGGTCTCTGCAGGCAGCAGGCTGGCAGGAGGCACTGTCCCTTTCTGAGTCACCCCGTTCCACTGGGGCAGGGATGCTCAGTGAGTGGGCAGCGTGGGGCAGGTGGGCAGTGACGCTGAGGTGCCCCCCATGCCGTTGTTGTGCACACTGACAAACTCACCTTGAAACAGCTGCTTGGAAATACTGAGCATTTTTCTACTAAGAGCAAACAGCTAAATGCCAATGAAGATGTATTGGACCAGATTGTGTCTTCACTTATTGGTGTGGAACTCCCAGCTTGTTGGCTCCAGGTACTCCCTCTAGGTTCCCCTCAGCCTTGTTAGGTCTGAGTTTTAGGGCAGAGGGGTTTCTCTGTGAACACACCTGTCACTTCTACCTGGCTGCAAGATGTTACATACAGTTGGATTTCTAGAGTAGCAACATTACAGAGTGGCTCCCATCACCTCTGTGTAATTATCAGTGACACGCTTGCACTCGCAGTGTCCCAAAATAGTTTTCTAGTAGCACAAAATATCTGTTGAAAGCTTCATAAAATCTCAGAGTTTTTGAAAGTTCATTTTGAACAGTTTTTCTTTTCTTGTATCACCAGGCTTTAAAATGTGTTCTTTTAAATAGTTTCTCTTTTATTAAAAAATCAACAACAGCAACAAAACCCACATGAGAGTAATACACCGTAATTTATGGAATGTTCTTGAGTTACCCTGTGACTTCTAGAGAACAACAAACCATTTGACAAAGACCTCGATGCAGACAACTTCCAAGTAGAAAGAATGACTGGCTCTAGTAAAATCCACTCACTCCCAATATTCCATTACCTTGAACAGGATTAAAATGTATATAGGAACATGACTTGGCTCCTTATATTAATAAGTGTTTTTTGGTGTACGTGATCGTATTAGTTGAACAGAACCTCATACAAATGTAAAATTCATAGTAAAGATGTCTTTATTCCAAAATAATAATAATAATAATAATATAATAATAATAATAATAATAATAATAATATGTTAGCCAGACAGCTACAAAACATCTACACAAGACTTTGGTAAGAAATGTTCATGGGAGCTTTTTCATAATTCCACAGCAAACAAAAACAACGAAGGAAATCTAAAAATGCAATTAAACAAAAGTTTGTTTAACTTGGTAGGCCACACACACAGAGTCCTACTGTACATTTGTAAAGCCCCTAACTTTTCTTTTTTGTTATGTGTAAAGCTTCTACAGTTTGTATATTAGAAAAAAAACATACGCACAATGCTAAGATCCGATAGTCAAGGTCTACAAAACTGGAGTGACATCTGTGCTTTCAGTTCAGCAGGATTATTCAGGACATCAGAACAATAACAGTTCTTATTTTTATTGACTGATAATCAGTGGCTATTACACTACTAGAAAGTTTACAGTAACAATGCAAGACTTCTACATATTGTATATCAGAGCTTTTTTTTTTCTGAATAGAAAATCAACCTCTTATTTTTTCTTCATTTGTTTTTGTTTGTGTTTCTTTTTTTACAAAATGTAACAAGCTTAAATATTTCTCTTGTATCAAGTTAGAAGAAAGACAAGTGATTTGTAAAATGTTTCAACAGAAAAACAGTGTGAAAAACTGAATCTAAGCAGGAATGATCACACATTTTTGACCCGGTGCAATTTACCTTGTCATTTCATCTATTAACAAGGTGGGGGAAAAAATAATTTCCAATTTCCATGACTTTAATGAGCCTAAGAGAAATGACTGGAAATCACACTTCTAAGAATAGCCTTCTAAGAGGGAAAAAAAAAAGTATATGGAGGATCAAATTAGTGAGAACTACAGAAAAAGGAATGCTAGATTGTTTTAATGGACTGTTTTGTGAGCACATTCAGAAAGATATTGTATATTTCCTATATACCTGAAGATGTATTTGGACTATGTAGCCTTTGTCAAAGGGAGTATTTAATGGACAAAACAGCTGGATGAACTGGAACAAATGTGAAAATGAAAATACAACATTGGTTTTAATTGATTATTTGCTGAAACAGGCATGGTTTTGTAAGAACAGCTTTACCAGTGACAAGGGTTGATGGGATAAAATATGGTTCATGAACTCATAACACTTTTTTTCCATTCAGGAGAAACTTTCTTCTTCTGCTCCCCCTGTCCCAGGCTCTCACAGATCCAAGCCACCAAAACCACACATTTTATGGTCAAAGATTACTTTTCTGAATGAATATTCTCAGCAGGGACAGCCTCTGTCAGCTCAGCCAGATGTAACTCTGCTGCCCTGGTATTGGTCACTGTAGCCCTTCTCTTGCAGCTATCTCTTTCTTCACCCAAAATATGCTCAGCTGGTCACTCCTCCAGCTTCTATATCATCCCACTGGTTTTTTGTTGGGTTTTTGTTTTGGTCACAAAAGGGTGATGTGCAAGGTAAGGTCATAAAGCGTTAGAGAGGGACCAACTTGCTGCTACGCTTGTAGTGGCAGTGCTACAGAGACATAAACTACAGAAATTTTGAAGAGGCCCAAGAAGGCAAACTATCTTCTGAATTAATATTATTCAGTGAGCCAAGCTGTGCAAAATGTAAAATGTTTGGTTTTAGCATTAAACCTTCTTGTATCCTTTTTTCTCCTCGTTTGGTTGACTGTGGGCTTGCACCCATTTCATTTAGCAGCAGCAGGAGAGGCTTATTACTGTGGTTGGTTCCGTTATTTTCCTGGCCCTTCCTTCATTCCAAATATGCAAAAAAGCAGTACAATACCTTGAGGGGGTGGGATGCAGCAGCTGTGGAAGTACTGAGCAGCCCTTGCAGCGTTCAGTGGAGAAAGGATGATGAAAAGCCCTATGATATAGTGCAACCAGCCCGTCTGGGTGCACCCTGTTCAGGTACAGGGGGGTAATGAGGGGATCCCCAGGGTACTGGTAGTGAAGCTGAACATCCTCAGTGGGTTGTGGTGCACACAAGTGTGGGAACACTTAAAACCCAGGTGTCAGGTTCTCAGGGTTCTGCCCTAGTGTTAAGGAAGTGAGTAAATTACTTAAGGCTGCTTTAAAGACACCATAAAATAAATTTTGCTCCATTCATTTCTCTCAAGCTTGTTTTAAGAGTCAGCATCAACAGTCTTTATTTTCAGTGCATTGTTATTACTTCTGTAGAGACATAGGTGTATGCTGCCTTTCCTGGACCAAAAGACAACAACCTCTTATCTTTAATGTTATCTTGTTAAACCTACAGGACAATATTGTATTCCAATAACAAGTGAAGCCCAAGGGTCTTGCTGATTACACATAGAGATGAGACCTAAATTCTGCAGGAGAGGATATAAAATAGCAATTAGAAAGGTGAGGAGCTACTTTCTAATCTCAGGTGGTTTGTTGATCTCTCAAGTGGTCAGGGAGGGAATTTAACCTGGCTAGTATATCTACAAATGGCCAACCTTCACAAATTTAGTAATTTTTAGATTATTCTATACTCTGAGTAAAAAACCAAACATAAATGACAGTGCTGTAAATGTATTCCCGTGTCAACCTGTAATTACCTCTTTAAGAGACTGTCATTGTTTCATTTCAGAGGATCCCTTCCCTTTGTTTTTTATAAGGGATACATGAGAACCTGGTTCACCTTTTCTCTACCATTTTTGTTATGTTATAAACCTATTTCCCTCTTCATCTGTGATTAACATCCTCGTGAAACTGAATCTAGTTTTTTAGTGTCTCTCATGTGGAAAACTTTATGTGACACAGCTGTTGCAACTCTCTCGACCAATTTCTATTAGTGTTGTATCTATTCTGAGAGGCAGTGGATAGATCCAAAATAGGAGTATGGAACCTAAATATATTATGACATTCACATGTTTTCTTTGTGTGCTGTTTTGACTTGAGTGTGTAGTGGTCAGACATCATTATTGATACAAATTATTTTCTTTTTAAGTTTTAATGAAACAAAGACCATTTTGCATGGACCACAGCATCCATGTGAAGAAAAGTATTTAGGATTATTATTATTATTATTATAACTATCAGCTTAACCCAATAGTGTAAAAAGATAAACATGCACCTTTAATATTATTGAACCAGCATTACTGAAATTACTCCTTGGCATAGTTGTGTAATTATGTAGGCACTGCTTTGGATTTTTAAAATCAGATCAAATCAAGAGAGAAATCCTCCCTCATATGAAACATGTCACTTGTGTTAATATGCATGCATCCCATGTCTTTACAAGTAGTATTTCTATATGGCTATTCCATGTCCACAGATATGTCTGTATTTTAGTTAAATAACTCATGATGACTTACTATTTTTATGCATTAAGGGCTGGCTGGAGTACCAAAGATTTACTCTCAGCATAAATCTGTGAGGAAACATCTATAAAATATTTTTCTTGCACCAGCAAGACTAAAAAGCAAACCACACTGCAAAAATGAAAACTAATATACACTTTATATTTTTGCTGTTGTTGTTTTAAAAACCAAACCAAGGTTGACTTTCCATTTAGCTCAGAGTGCATCACTTGGAACCTTGTGTTTTGTTAACAAGGATGAACATTACATGCTCTTAGCTCCTTTTTGTCTTTGCAACTAGTAAAGTGAGTACTTTTGGACCTCTTCTTCACCATCATGTAGCGTTCCTGAATTCCACCTCCACAGAGTGTAGAACATTCTGTCCAAGCAGTCCATGGTTTCAGCCTACAAACTGAAAAAATAAGTGATTTGATTAATTTTTTTAATAGTAGAACCACCTGTTAAGTGTAATCAAGGTGCATTTGTCAAACACCGAAAAAAAAGAATTAAAAAAGAAATTTACTGTCTGCATTATCTACATTATAAAAGACAAACTAACAAATTGTTAAATGTCAGACAAGCATGAACCACAACTTAGCAGTAATTCCTCTCGACATAATGTAAACTACAGCCCAAGATATTATGTTTTGTTGATTTGAGGAGTCAGTACTTGATAATATTGTCCCCTATTGAAAAAGCAGCACTAACAGATCTCCCAGAGGAGACTGAGTCTGAATCAGATTATTGAGATGGAAATTAATTCAGTTTCAAAATTCAGCATTGGATCCAGGAACAAATGTTTCAGAAGTTTAAAGGGAACTGGATGCAAAGATTATCACTCAGATCTGCAGAAACTGCAGCCAGTCCTTTGCCAGGTCTAAGTTTTAGATTTTTTTCACATTCTATTCTTTTGTGTGGAGTAGATAAAATATTTTCAGTGGCGGGACATGGGCAGACATGAGCTTTTGTCCAGCTCAGGTCACACTTTATTATTATTGCACAGGTTTTTGGTGACAGGCAAACACTGAAAGGGGCTGTGTTTTATTTTATTGCTAAAACTTTCCCTAGGCTGAAATGCTGGAGTGCACTGCAACTCCTGTTATGCAGAAAAGACAACTAGCCACGAGCATTCCAAAAATGGTTGGACACTCACCTGGATATTGCTCACTATCTATATTCTTTTTTGCTTGCTCGCTTCTCCTTTTCTCCCGGGCCTCTTTCCAGCGCCTCTTTTCCATCCCCGGGCCTCGCAGGCATTTCCTCACTCGACATTTCGAACGTTGGACAGTTTCTGGGCACGCTGTTCCTCCAAACTGGGGCTCGATTTTAATCATCCTTGTCCTGATCATGTGGCCCTTCCCACACGAGGTGTTGCATTCGGACCACTGGGACCACTCCGTTAGTTCACAGTCGATGGCTGCAAAGAACAAGAAACAGGACACAAAAGCCATGAAATCTTCACCATAAGGTCAAGAAACAAGATGTGCCTAATGAATTTTTTACACCCTAAACACGTGAAGACAACTTAAGACTCCAGTCTTCTTAGCAGATGTTTTGAGGCTGCACATCAAAATTTCCTGAGTCCATTCCTAGCAGACTTATTATTTGACACTTTCCTTGATTTCTTCTTCAAGAATGGTGCTGGCAGATCACTAAAATTACAATAAACATATAAATAATTCTCCTGCGTCTTCTTCAATTTTCCTACCCATATGCCTGTTTTGTAATGAAAAGCTGCTGAAAATTGAGTTATATTTCAAAAGAATTTGCTACCTCTGAGATCTAAGCCTTGCTTTCTGGCAGTGTTATGCAATAAGCCACATTCACTAATACCATTATATCTTTAAAGTTTTCATCTTTCAGCACTGCTTAACGCTTACAGCCCCAGTGAATAATAATCAAAATGATATTTCACATCATTTAAGAAAAGCTGAATGAGCAATTACAGTGTAAAAGCCTTTTTAACCAACACTTTCTGTGAAAAAATTATGTAATTTGTGATAAAACCTCATAAACCAGCTGGCAACAGGATGCTAAAAGCAATCACATCTCATTCATTCAATGGCACCTTAGGCTATCACCCTTCACAAAGACTGAAAAGCAACCAGAAATTTGCACTGCCCAACAAGTGGGGGATTTTAATGGAGTAAGGTAAAAAAATCGTTGCAGCTGTCTCCACACCATCCGCTGGCTAATGTGATATTGGAGGCTGCAAAGTGTATCAAAGTTCACAGATGTGCCAAAGACAGAGAAAGCCTCTTTTGTGCTCTTTGTGTGAGTTAAAAGAATCAATCTCACAGGTGATTTTAACTCTTCTTTCCTTCCTTCCAAGCACACATTCTGCATTTGAGTAAAAAAAGTACGTTTTATAATTCTGACTTATTTACTATTGGGAAGCTCACAAACAGTTTCCTGAAGTGTGTTAAACAAGCGGAACTGTTCCCCCCCTGTACTCCACTTCTGGAGTGCTGTGTCCATTTCTTGGCTCCCCAGTAGAACAGAGATGTGGGCATAGCAGAGGATGACCACAAAGACAGGCAGCAGACAGGCTGAAGCATATGGCATATGAGGTAGAAAAAACTGAGGAGGATCTTGTTGCTGTCTCCTAGTACAGAGGGGGAGGGTATAGGTGAAACCAAGACAGAATCTTCTCAGAGGTAAAGAGAAGGATGAGAGGCAACAGGCACAGAACATGGTAAATTTTGAATAAATGCAAGAAAAATATTTTTCGCTGTGGTGGTGGTTAGACACTGCAAGAGGCGCCCAGAGAGGCAGTGGTATTGCTGTATTTGGAGACAATAAAACTTCACTGAGCATTTCCTTGAGCAACTCTGACTGGGTCTAATCTGAACAGGTTTTCTAGTGTGAAAATCTTAGGTGTCTTGGCAGGGCACACTGAGGTCCAGCTGAGCTTTAAGCATTCTCTGCCTCATCCTCTTCCCCTTTTCACAGGTAGAAGAGCTGCAGGCTGACCATTGGGACCAGTTTGAATATATGCAGGTCTCAGGGGTATCATCTAAAAAGTAAGGAAAGGCATTGAATGTTAAAAATAGTCTTCCATTTTCTTCCCTTTACTTGGCTGATGATTGCTTTAGATTCTAATAGGATACATTCTTTCCTTCTGCATTCTACATTGATCAAGATTGATCACCAGCATAGGGTTAAGAGAAGCTGAATTTAAAACTTCATCACATCCCAGCTCTCAATTGCTGAGGGTGTATAATAACAATAATAATTTTTTAAACAATGCACAGTTGATATTCCTTTCATCTAAGAAGTGATGCTTGAATGGTGATAGAGTTTTGCCCCATAGACTGCTACACTTGTAATTATTCTCCTCTTTGCAGGGGATTTCCCAGACTCACGGCATTCAGGCAGCATGCACTTTTCTGCTTGTTCCAGCTCCTCGTTGCAGTCTCCAAGCTCAGCAGCAGATTTCAGCATCCTTTGCCGGGTTCTCATTCCCTTCCCACAGGTTACACTGCAGTCACTCCACTCAGACCAAGGAGAGAGTAGACAGGGGATGGTATCTGACATGAAAATAAAAAGGTAATGAATTCTTTTTATAAATAAATTACAATGGTATAATTTTTGAAAATAATACAGGTGGAAAATGTACTATGTTTTATCTGTCATCAGCCAATTATACTTTCTTGTCACAAGCTAAATGATGTTGCTGAAGAAGCTCAGAAAACAGTATATTAAATTGAAAGCTTTGCTTCATTTTAATATCTTTGCTATCTCTTTCTGTAGCTTATTTTTATCTGCAGAGTTCCAATGCATCTGAGGAATTAATACTCTAAGAAGCTATATTTCAGTCATAACTCCTGTAAAAAAAACCCCTGGATTGTTACAGTGGACAGAACTGAAAGTCAAATTAATTTAGTCTAAAATGTGAAACTTGCATATTTTATCTACCAAAAACATTTTTAAACTTATCTCTGTCTCTGATGAAAATCTTAATGTTTCTTAAGAAACTAAAACCAACATTAATAGGAAGGGTGAGACTGGCTGACTGTACAAAAGGAGCACTTCGATTTCTCAATTGCCCACAGGCTAAAAGGAGAGGGCATGGTTTTATTTGTTTTATTTTAGCCTTATGACTAAATATGCTTCATATTCCATAACTTCAGAGTTGTTTAGGTATGGCTTGCTGATATACACACCACTATGTGGGTCATACAGTAATAGGATACCAGCGAACATTTTTTTTTACTGATGCTCCCATCCTGGTGGTGAATGCTGTACTTAATGCACATTCCCTAAGAAGCCTAATTTTAAGGAGAATAAGAAAAAGCAACATTGCTTCTAGTTTAGCTATGTTCTTTGTGTGCTGGGACAATGTGTCAGACGATGCCTCCCTGTAGTAGAGGAGACAAACTCCGGCTCACTTACGGCATTCAGGCATCATGCACTTCTCTGCCTCTGTAGTTTCTGCCTTGCACATGGATCCATCAGCAGGAGTCATCTTGATCATTCTGTGCCTTCTCTTCATCCCTGTGCCACAGCTAGCACTGCATTCATCCCACTCACCCCATTCAGTGACGAGGCAGCTGCTGGGAGCTATTCAAAGTGGACAGAGGGAATTGTTCATAAGCAGGGCTCATATAAAAAATGGTTTGGGCAGTGCTCGCTTTATAGGCTGGATTTTATCAAGTTAAATAAAATACTTACAGCACTCCTCATTTACAATACACTTCTCAGTCTCTTCTGTAGGCACTTTGCACATGGAGCCATCCTCAGGGAACTGTTTTACATATCTCTCCCTAGATCTGGTTCCCATTCCACAGGAAACACTACAGGGGGACCATGTAATCCAGTCAGACATCATGCAAGTGGAACCATCTAAAATACAGAGAACCATTTCAATTGCAGGTATTGACAGAATTGCTGATAAATATGTAGCTGTGCATATTCTGTGCAGCATTCACTTTGATGCTGCCTTTCACATTGTCCTTTCCTCTATTGCTTCCTCTACTCCTTTCCTTTATACTTTTGTCATGCACTGACTCAGCTGAAATGCAGAATTGACCACAGACAGCTTCATACAGTGTTCTTTAGCAGCTGTCCCTCTGTTTGCCATAACTGAAGCCATACTACAGCAACCAACAGCCTTTAGAAATTTAAAAGAAGAGAAAACCCTACAAGGTGTTCTTCCCCTCCACATTTCATTCCTGATTACCTTCATCACTGCAGCCTGGACCCATGCATGGTTGAAAATCTTGGGTATCTGGGCAGGGCACACTGAGGTCCAGCTGAGCTTTAAGCATTCTCTGCCTCATCCTCTTCCCCTTTTCACAGGTAGAAGAGCTGCAGGCTGACCATGGCGACCAGTTTGAATATATGCAGGTCTCAGGGGTATCATCTAAAAAGTAAGGAAAGGCATTGAATGTTAAAAATAGTCTTCCATTTTCTTCCCTTTACTTGGCTGATGACTGCTTTAGAGTCTAATAGGATACATTCTTTCCTTCTGCATTCTATCTTCTCCATTTTAGCCCAGAAGAAACAAGAATTACCAATTGCCAGCTTTCATTTAAAAAAAAAAAAATATCTGAATCCGAAAAGGCTTCTCTCTTTTATCACCTGTATTGTTACTGTCATCTTCCAGGTATATATGCAAAATTTCTTTGCTTTGTAAGGGAAGACTAATAGTAGACAGCAGAAGAGATGAAAACCTAAATCACTGTTTGACATCAAGTGGAATTTTTGCTCCTGAGTCTGTTTTTTTTCCTTATCTACAAATGATAGGGGAGAATGAAACAAAAATATAAATTAGTACTGCATGAACTAATTTAAAATGTACCTTCTTCTTTTTCCTCCGGTGCCAGATCTGCCACAATATCATCTATGTTATCAGGAACGATATTGCATTGCTCCCCCTGCAAAAACATTGTTGTGGACATTGAATACAGGAAACTCATACATGAATGCAGAAATAGGGGCTAATCCAGTATTTTGTGAGGCACTACTGCACCTGCAGCACCTTTTTATCTTAGAGTCCCTAGGTATATTTAAAGAAATCCCCAATTAAGCAGATGCAATAATTACCAGAAGTAGAAGTAATACCTTAAGACAGTTGTAGGTTTTTTCTGCCCTCAGCTTTGGTGTGAGTAGGGTAAAGAGTGTAGATTTGGGGGGAAGGGGGAGGAAAGGTTAATTTTCTGGTTTATGGAGTGGTTTTTTGCACTCACTTGAGAATTTTACATGTCTATTATACCTTACGTGCAATTCTCTCAATGACAACTCTGGCTACCAGCTTGATAGATCCTCCTTCTGGATCATAAAATGGACTTTGGGGATGATCTAAGCTTGTAAGTGGTCTTATCTTCTCCTGAGGCACTGTAGGTTTGTTAGGAGACTGCAATCAAAAAGAAAAAAAATGTAAAAAAAGAAATTATTAATTAATAATACAATTAATCTGCAGAAATAAAAACTTCTCTGAGATGCTAAACTGCAAAATTCCTGTGTAAGATGAACTTGGTACATTCATACTTAATGGTGAGGTTTTTTGGTTTAGTTTTTGGGGGGGTTGGGTTTTTTTATTGTTGTTTTTTTGTTTTGCTTTGTGAGGAAGTACTTCTCTAATAGTTCAGGATTCAGGCCTGAAGCTGGGTTAACAATAAGATGAATGCCTTGTTGTCTGGTTAAATAACTACATTAATAAAAAAAAAAAAAAATTATTCTATATTCCCCCAGAGCTGTATTATAACTGGAGAAATTCCTTAGGTTCTAAAGAGGCCAGGTCTGAAAGATAAAATCATCCACATCTTGTCATCTGACATGGGAATATGTGTCCTATTTGAGGATGTGACTAGTCAAGTCTCACTTCAGCTGTCTGTACTGTCTGCATAGACACACAGTGTAGGTACCTGTCACCTATGGACACATAACCTGTTCAATTCACTTGACATAACCTATTTGGTCAAAACCAGGACTTTATCTGAGCATGATCTGAATCCTCTTCAGACTAAGAGAGTGACGGAGACAGAGAAAACAGATTATTTTATAGTCTCATAATGATGAGAAGTTGAGTTTCAATCCTTGCTGTAAGGAATAGTTATAGTTTTCTGGACCAAACAGAACAGTTGGCATTGGATTGAAACAGTCCAAAGCTCAGGGGCTGGACACCTAAATGCTGAGTCCTCCATGTATTCAATAGGTGAATACAAGCACTGAACACGAGTAAGAACTTCTTTACAGGTGGCCATGCACTGGAAAAGATTGCACAGATAGAGGTGGAGTCTCCCTCACTGGAGATATTCAAGAACCATACACAATGCTGTGCAAAATGCTCTGGGATGACCCTGCTTAAATAGGGAGGTTAGACCAGATGACTCCCAGTTGTTCCTTCCAACCTTACCCATTCGTGATTCTGTGGTAATAACATCCCAGGTGAATGAGATGTTATCCCATTAATAATAATGCTTAAGGACTTCAGACAAAATGACCAAAGGTAACTGTAGCTAACACCTGTTTAAATGACTTCTAATTAATTTTAAGAAAAATTTTTGCTGGAGTAATATAAAGTCATGTAGGATCAAATAGCTTTCATTCTTCTATGCTTTAAGGTAATATATTTGAATATATTACAAATAGTCCCCATACCTCATAGGTAACGCCACTGTCCGTGCCAGCATCCCACGGGATTAAATCCTGAACGACTTTCTGGACCCAACCACAGTCCTTGGTGCAGAGATCTTCGGCAGAGAGCCCCACATTCCAGTCGGGGCTGGGGCCGAGCATGGTGAGGAAGGACATCAGGTGCCGGTGGCGATCGACAGAGAACTCAGCAGAGGGAGCAGCTCTCCTGCAAATCCGAAGGAAGAGCATTAAAAACTGCATCCAGCTTTGCTACTACAGGGAATTCAAACTCGGAAATACTGAACCCCAGCGTGACACTGTGTCTGGTTCATGGGGATGGAGGAGCAGGACAGGGAGAGGGCAGCTGCACAGCACTCCTGAGCCTCAGTCTCTATAAGGCTTTGGCATCATTCAAGATTTGCTGCTTAATGGGTGAAAGAGATGTAGCAGCACAGAGCTGCAGCAGTATGCTTGTGTTTAGTGATATAGTAATAAAAGATATGTCACAACACTTAAAAAAATTAGGACTAAAATATCAGAGAAATACCCCGAGGCCTTGATTGATGGGATATTTTTTACCCCTCGTAAAAGATCAGGTAAGTTCTAAAGCCAAAAGTTCTTGGAAGTGCTACTGTGTGTGTGCATGTATGTGTGAAAAGCACTCATTAATAGAGTTTGAGTGCTCGTGTTAAGTGAGACATTAATGGCCTTTGCCAGCCCTAGAGAGTTCAGCCAAGACTTCTGCAGCTTTCTGCCAGTGGATGTGAAAACGCCTCTATTCATCCAGCCTTTGTCAGCCGTTCCCTCAGGAAGAAATCTGCTGAATCATGGAGTGCTCTGTGATGCTGATGAGCAACTGCCACATCCCTGTGCACATGGAAATAAAATCAGGCCTGACTGGAGGCTTCTGTTCACAGAAGCTGGACCCCTTTGTGGAGTTTTTCTCATGAGCAACAACAAATGCAGAATTATTTAAAATATTATTTTGGTAATTTTGCTCTGCGAAATACTGATCTGATGTCAACCCAAGTTTTTTTCAGCTACAAACTTAAGTAAATACAGAGCCAGGTCAAGTTGGTGGTTTTTTTTTTCCCATTTTTGTGCCAAACCCCACTGTTTTAGAGCATCTAAAGACCACATTTATTTTAAATGAAAGGGGGAGTTGCTGTGTTGTTTATCTTTCCTTTTTTGGTTAGGTACCTTATAATAATGCAAACACATGCAAAATAGTGTACATGCACTGTTCTGCTGTAGTCATAAGGAGTTTATTCTTCCTGTAAATCCTTGTATACCTGTAAAAATGCAGTATTTTATTTGCGTATTTTTTCTGCCTCAAAGGACTCTCAGCACATTAGAAAAAAAGCAGAACAGCACAAAGACAAAGATTTTGAGTAGTTCACACACAGTATCAAATGTGAGATATCTAAAAGTTAGCGTATATAGTTCCCCTTCAAGAGGTAAGTTTCAGAAATAGCATTTGCTAATGAGTAAAATGGCCAGAGTCTTTAGAAGTTGTTTCTTACTGTGTAAATTATCTTACATTGAATTAAAGACTCTGAACAGAAGAGTTGCTAAGCATTTGATGTCATTAATCCTGCCTTTCCCAGAAAGTAATGCAAATGACTTTTTTTTTTTTCCCATGAGACATAGAAGTCTGGTTTCAGTGTGTCTTTGTAAAGTAATAAAATAATGAATGATGACATCAACTTCACTCTGTGAATACAGTATCCTGTATATATTTGTCAAGTACCTAGCAATGATTAGTCTTAAAAAGCCTGTTAACTGACTTCAAGTAACCAAAGGATTTACTGCATTATAGGGATTTTTTAAGAAGTCCCTATAGGAATTTTGTATTTCAAACAGCACACAGCAACAGTCTGAGCAGTACACTGTAAAAATAACACAGAGATGTGTGTTTGTATACCTGATCTTTAGATGGAAAAAATGTCTAATATGGATATTGCAGAACAGAGATGCAGGTCAGCAAGGGCAATGCAAAGAGAGGGAGACACAATCGTACCTTTTAAAGGCAGAGGGTTGGGAATCACTTGACTGCTTTAGACACATAGTGATGGAAAACTCTTGTCACCTGTTAGTCTTGTGATAGTCATGTACAATTAAGGCTTTGAATGCTCTGTTAGGAGAATTAATATTATTCATCATATCAAGATAAATTATTTGCGTATTTAAATTATGAGAGTATTTAAATTACAATTGTATCAATGTTGAAACTGTGTGAAGGAACGCTTTAGTAGGAGATACTCTTTGCCTACAAACTTACGGATGTGTTAAATGATATCAGTGAACTCGAGCCTCCCACATTTTTCCAATTCCAGAGCACATTGCAAAAAATCACATATCTTGACAGATAGGTAGTGTTATGACCATTATACTGTATTTTATCCCATCACAGTTTAACATAAAAATGTGAAGATTAGTAAAGGACAAATGGAGGCGTGTTCTCTTCTCTTCCTTCCTCCACTCCACTGCAGACAGGTACCCAATGCACACACACTTTGGCTGCAGTGCAGCACGAAGTGTTAGGTTGGACATTGTAAAAATCTTTATATGCAGTTTAAGAATTAAGTATTTAAAATATTCTGTTTCATAGATATAAATGTGTATATATATAAACATAAAATGCCGTTGTTGCACTTGCTGCTTTATTCTATTAATTAATTTCTGTGTGGATACTTCTAAGGACTATGAATATAAATTTGAACAACTGTTGTATAGCGTTGCCCAACGTTAAACATTCTGAGTCCTTCCTGAGTTACTGTAATTAAGGAAAAATTGGCTGACCTAAGGCACCATCCATATCTACTCCTTGGGTACAGGATAGGCACTGACTGGGCTTAGACTATAGAGAACTCTGATGGGGGGTTTTTGGGTTGTTTTTTAATAATCTGACAAATTTCAACTATTTCCAGTATCCACATGAATGATGGATTTATGAAGTTGGCAGGAATCTAAATTCTTCATGTGTACCTCAGCAACACATCTGGCCCAAGCATCCTAAAACTGCACTATGGAACTCCATGAAGGAAACCGGTGTTAAAGTGTGCTCAGTATGCCCTAAACCCAACTTTTTTTCATTTTAGTATTGTCAACTCACTGGACAAAATAGGAACGTGGATCATTTTCTTTCTCTCTTTAAAGGCTTTCAAATCTCAAGGAAGTGTTCTTCCATGACAGGTTAAGCACGTTTGGTAAAGCCCACAGGAAAGCCTGAAGTTTATAGCTGACTGAGAGACAAACAGGTCCCTTTTCCTTCCCCTGCACATATACATGCTTCAAACCAAACAGGAGCTGCAAAGCAGACCCTAAACATTAGGTAAGTGCCAGATGACAACTCTGAGAACCCCACAGGACAGGGGAATCCTGCTTTCCTTGTCTGAAGCAGACAGTACTTTTCCACTGTGAGCCTGAGCAACCTGCTGGCAATTCCTGTTACATAGTAGAGAGTGAGGCAAAGTACTAGGCAGTGTCCTGCATCCTAATTATTTTCCATTCCCTTTATTTCTATTCTATTTTATTTTTCTTAGCATGATTAGGATCTCCAGCTACAAGGATGTTGTATACTGAGCAGTGTAAGAAAATGGTCTTTTTTTTTCCCTCATATTTGTGAGTGTGTGTGTTTTGTGGTGTTTGGGATTGTGGGTTTTTGTTTAGGTCCTTTAGGTGTTTTTTCCTTTTTTTAAGACTAAAAGAGCACAAACATTATTTTGCTTTGCAAGTTTTCTCCCTAAGTGCCAATCTAGTTGCTATCACTACTGGGGGTGGGGGTTAAAAAAGCCTTTGACAAACCAACAGAAAACTCAGCTTGCTGCAAAACATGTTTTTGAGTGTTGAATCAATATTGTCATGTTCTGCTGAGGTCCCTGGAAAAGGTAACAGAGCCCACACAAGGAAGGTGGTTGTGTAGAGTTACAGGATAGAAGTAGCAAAAAATTATATTTTGTAGAATGAAACTTTGTGGTTACTTCTGGTTTAATATTTGGTTAACATACAAGTAAAACAAGTAGGAAAAGGCAACCTGAGCATATACTCATTTTTTTTCTAGGATACTAACTAGCTCAACAAATAAGATCATTTGTAGGGTTGAGCTTGTACCACTGGAATCAATGTGCATTTTGCTACATATAAGCAGACTATTTGCCTCACCCATGCATAAAGACTTTTCCAGCAACACAAAAGCTGATTATATAAGGACAAATTTGAACACGAAGAGCATCGGTATTTCCACTGCAAAGTTCTGTGTAGTGCAGAGCTCTCTTGCTTGCTTCCCAGGCTGGCTGCTAGAGCTGATTTTAGGTGGGGCAGCACAAATGCAAATAATTTTTTGAAATAAAATAAACCAGTGTATTAGATACTTGTTTTGCAGCAGTGGAGGAAAAGCCAGCAGTTCAAAACACCTTCAGAAATACTGGATATGTGCAGCGCTGCATCACCATCCAAGTTCTGACTTTGGTTATGGGAAAAAAATAATGTGATTAAGTGGGCAATTGGAGAGAACAGGGGAGCGTAAAATACTAATTTTTATGATAGCCTTCTTAAATTAAATTCTAATTCAAGTGGTCTTATATATTTTGTGCTGGGGAAAAAAATCTGATATATACCATGGAGTGAATAACTATATGGAGCATAAAGTAGTTTGAAATAGCTCTCCAGATTTTTTCACAGAGCTGCATTAAGGTATAATCATCCTAAACCCACTATTAGAGTCTGGATATTAGATTCATTTGAGTATACCAGGATCTGATCTTGCTTGTGCTCAGGATAAAATAGTAGCTTTTTCAGATAGGAAGAAAAAAGTGGAAACAGCAGAGAAACCAGTCTAAGACTGACAATTGTTGGAGGTGGGAGGTATTTGAAAGCCATGTGGACCCATTGCCACTGGTTTAGTATCTGTTCTAGGTGGTGCTGCCGATGGGAAAACACCACAGTTTTTTTAAGTTAAGAGTTTAGCTGATTACATGACCATGAAAAATGAATATTTTTGGAAATACTAAATGAATTATCTATTCTAACCCTAGTAAGTAAAAAGCAGCATCCTTCTTTTTTAGAGGTTTACATTGCATCACATCTAAGCTTTCCAGGATGAACATTCTTATTTACTCATCTTTAGAACTTTTTGCTATTGATACAAATAACTTTATGAGCATGAAAACACACTTCACACCCTTGAACTTCCAACTCTGCACCACCTACCTACGAGCAGCACCT